TCCTCGTCTGCAAGTATCTTCTTAATATTCAATGCCTCTTACACATGGCATATGATGCATCTGCTAGAGCCTCGTCTTCGCAACCAACAGCCTCTCACACATCCATTATCTTGTCCTGCAGGCATGGCTTCAAGAAGCTATCCGTACAGCTGATCATCTCCGTGAAGAACAAGCCGCTGAAGAAGCCAGGAAGGCCATAGAACCCAAAATCCACAGCATCCCCTTCACGAAGAAGGAGCCTGAGGAGTGTCTGGGCCTTTGAATCTTAGAGTCAACACAGTTCATGCGATTCTTATTCTTCCACTTTGCTTTCTTGACTCAAGTTTTGTGACCTTCATACTTTCACTGCAATAACATTGTGCAAACTCCCGACTGTCTACCCAGCTACCATGACGACCATGCCCTCCTTGCCTATCAATCTCGCCGCAACCCAATGGATGTTGATACAGACATTGCCAGCGACAAATGGACGAACTGGGATTTGGCCAAGCAGCTCCAACCCAAGTCAAGAAGGAACAAGCTGTCTTCAAGTCTTTGCGTCCTCCTCCCTCCGGCGTCATCGAACTGGACACTCCTTCGCCTGCCCAGAAGAAGCAGAAGTCAAACACGTGCTCTTCTGCTACTATGACGCTGCCTTCAAACCCTAGCAATGCTGTGTTGGCTCTTTCATCTCCTGATGAAGAAGAAGAGCAATCCTTGGAGCGTGCGTTGGAGGCAGAGATGGATCGAGGCTTCCCTTCTGTGGAAGAGAAAACCCGAAGGCACTCCATGATGTGGCTCGCTATGTGGATAGGCTATCGTGCTCTGAGAGGATGTTTGATCTTCATATGTGTAGACCATCTACAAAGGATGCATATGTAGATTGCTGAGAGAATTTTATTGTCTTATTCTCAGTCAAACCACCTTACGCAGTCGACAGGTCAGTGAGTCAAAAAGTCTTGAGTGTTTACCGCTGCCTTCCTGCACTCTGCATGTGCTGATCAATTCAATTTACCACAGTGATCCCTATACAAGTTTGGAGCTGATGAAGGCTTCGTTCTCTTTCTTGTCACTTTGCCTCGTCGACTTGTGGCTGCCCGGTTTTTCTGAATGCATTCGTTGAATATTCATGCCTTGTATGTCTGTAGCCATTTCTGTTTCTTTCGTGTGCCCTGGAAGATCTCAAGCTATGGTGGCCAAACGTACCCCGACGCTTCAAAAGGCTGCAAAGCGCCGTGTGCTGAAGCGCCCTGCAGCTTTGAAGAACAAAGCCACCTTCTATCCGTTCCCAGATCCGAGGCGTGGCAAAGTTCGTTCGGCTTTATATAGTGCGTCCTGCCACCAGGAAGACCAAAGCATGGAACAAGGTCGCATACACGCGACATTCCAAGAAAGGAGGACTGGGCAAAGTGCGGCTGGACCAGACCATGTGGCGGCGTTCTTTGCTTGATATTCTACAGGCATCAGGCAAGGACATTGTGAAGATCCTTCTTCAAGATGGATTCTTGAAGTAGTGGACCGGCAAGTCCTGTCCACCATGTGGAAGAGGCAAGTTGTGCAAGCTGAGTGGGAGCGGCATTCCAAAGCATCGCTGCAGTGCTAAGAATTGTCAAGCCTACATCAACCTCATCATCTGCATCCTCTCTTTGTTGATGGTCGTGGCTCTGGGACGACTTCTTTGTAGATACAATCTTGCCTTTTACCGTTGAAGTTGAACCATGTGCCCAACTCAGCGATTCATCGGCTCCTTGGAATCAACCACAAAACAATCGAGAACATGGAGACGCGCTTGTGCAACCTTCGAAAGCCGTGGGTGGAGGAGAAGGAAAAGCTCATCGATTTTGGTTCCGGTACCAAATGGTCTGATGTGGAAGCTGATGAGACTACTTTTGACCGCAAGAACACTGGCCAACTTGCTCCTGACAAGGCTACACCCATTATGTGGGAACAGTGGTGTGGGATTGTCAAGAGAGGTCACACAGACACCTTGGTGCTCCACAGGCTGACACCCAAAATGTCCAAATCGCGTCACCAGGCCCAGGTGCCGTGAGGCATTGCAAAAAGAGGATGAAGGTGGCAGGCAACTGGCAGTGGAAAGCCCCAACGTATGTCCGCTTGGTGACGCACAAGTTGCCTGGCACGAATTCAATGCAAGGCAGGCACACAGGTCATTGATCGGACATGGGGGCTCCTGAAAGATAGAATCAGCTGCAACCAAAATTTCCGTGTTGGGACTGCTGCGTTGGGGCCAAACTCCTTTCTGCCCAGTACGAGCACTGGATGAGGAGGAACATGTGCCTGTGGCTTGGCACGGGCAAATTGTGCAACTGGCAGATGGCAACGTTCATAAGCCAGCACAAGCGCTGCTGATCGCTGGGGTGCTCGAAAAAAAAAAACTCATCCGCTTGCTTCTGTTTTGTAAATGCTACGGTGCAAGGAAACCTGCATACACCACAGGCAGCACTGACATGTCTGAACACAACCTCTATGCTCATCTGGTCTGCAGTCCTTTGCTGGAACATCAAACCATAGGTTCCTTGCTTATGCTCTCCAGTTGCAATAATTCAGTTTAGTCCACCTCAGCAACACAACCCAAAAATATGACTAACCAAAGCATCCCTTTCAAACGCTTTAGCAATAAATATACACTATCCAACAAAACAAGCATGCTATGCTATAGTACCAATGTACATCCAAAAAAATGTATTTGGCCTCAACGCCGAGCCAATTTTGTGCATATGTGAATATGAGCCATCTGCTCAGCTGAGAATATGGTAGCCAAACATATTGAAAATACTAACAAAATCTAGCATGGTGTGTATAGATATCATTTCATACCTCATCAACATGACATGCTCACAAGATTAAAAGGACGTGAAATTCCAGAATCTCATATATAGCCAAAACGCACAAAAACACTGTAAAAACAAATGTAGACCTGACGATTTGCATTTCACCACAGCGCCGTGTCCATTTTTGAAATGACTCAACTATAAACATCTGCCAGTACTACAATAGAATGTTCAAAAACGCTGCAAATAGCAGCAAAACATGCCCTCATATCTACACATGTCATCTCAAACATCATCAGATTCAAGTGTCCAAATATTGAGAAGCACTTCAAAATATAGTGTCTTTTTTGACAACAAAATAAGCAAAAAACACTGTAAATACGAGTGAATTATGCAAAACTGGTAGGTTTTTGGGGGATAGCATGTATATATATATATATATATGGGTATGTCTCAAAATACCGTGTCCAACCCGGGAAGTTTGACTGGGGGGTATGATTCGTGGGTATGATTCGGGGTATGATTCGTGGGTATGATTCGTGGGTATGATTCGCGGACCTTGATTTAGTGTTTCCCTGCATCCTCCGCGTATGGTTATGTACCCACACTATCCCACACTTCCCCCGAAAATGTTTCAACTGTTGGCAAGTATACCATACGTGGAGCGCTTTGGAGCTGGCATGCTGTTGACGCTGTGCGTGCTGCTGTCAGAGTGGTGTGTGCGCTTTGGAGCGGGCATCGTGGTGCTGCTGGAATGCCGCTGCAAGGTGCTGGTGGCAGGGGGTTGCTTGCTGTCAAAGTGGTGTGTACAGTTTGGAGCGATGCTGGTGGCGCTCAGGGTGCTGCTGCAAGTGCTGCCTGAGGGTGATGATTGAAGGTGCTGCTGTCAGAGTGGTGTGTGCTGTAAACCCTGCTTTGGAGCGGGCATGCTGGTGAGCGGATGCGGGTGGAAGGTGCTGCTTGAGTGTGCTGTCAAGCTAGCCTGCTGGTGCTGCTGCAAGGGGTGATGCTTCAGGGTGCTGCAAGGAGGGTAGGTACTGTACCCAACTCGTGCTGCAAGGGTGCTAGCTAGTGAAGGGTGCTGCTGCACGCTGCAGGGTGCTGTTGTCGGATTTTTCTCAGAAGCAGCAGGAGGCGTAGTGTAGCCCGTGGTGAATGGTTGCAAAGAAAAGAGGGAAGTTTGAGGTATGATTCGGGTATGATTCGGGCATGATTCGGGGTATGATTCGGAGACCCATCTTTTTTTGAATTCAGGAAGCTTGTTGCTTGAGTCTCTTTTTCCCACCGTCAACCTACTACGATTGCTACTTTGTCAATGGCTGCAATGGCTCGACCTGCCAGACGACCTTGGACAGGACCTGAATATGAAGAATGTGAAGATCTCAATGCACATCTATGATTTATATCCGCCGGCCTGCCGGCGTCTCTTCTGGATATTCTTCTCATGTACCTTTAGCTCAGCTACGCTTAGGCTTATGTTCCTCTGTGAAGGTAGCCAGGGATCATCGGGTCTGGCCAACACTGGTCAATTAGCTTGTCAGGTCCATTATACCTAGTGAGGCCAATGCAATCCCAAACGATCCCAAAAAGAAACATTCATAATCGTGATTTTTTGGGGTATGATTCCGGGGTATGATTCGGGGGTATGATTCGCACAAATCGAACTTCCTGCCTTTACTAAAAACTGCACGCGTTAAAAAAAGACACAGCCATATATATATATATATTACAGTATAACTACTCTCTCTAAACAGTCGAACCATAGTTGCTATGCTACAGGACATTCATACAACAAGGTGCAACCAGCAAGCAGAAACAGTTCAGAAATCAGCTGCGTCTCTACCCATGGGGCCTCCCAGTTGTTGGTTTGTAAACCTCATCAACCCCACCTTCAGGTAGAATTGACCAGGAAAATGTGGCTTAATTCTTATCCACAATTTTGAGCCTGCAATTCTTGTGCGCCCAGAAATATCCGCAAATTAGAATGGACATAATTGGAAATACATAAACATAGATTAAACAATTAAACATGATTGAATATATAACTAGTTGGTGGTTTCAACCTCTCTGAAAAATATGAGTCAGCTGGGATATTTTTATTCCCAATATATGGAAAGTCATAAAAGCCATGTTCCAACCCACCAACATCCACCAACCAGATTAAATATGATGAAATTGACTCAAATCTCTAGCCCTTCAATCATCTTCCCAGGTCTGGTGTAAACCCGCCTCCCCCACAGCATAGACCGAGCTCTCGTGAGGCTCATGCTCGATCAGGGCGGTCTCCCCAAAGTGGGCGCCTGCAATTTGACCAGCGGAAATGGACATTTCATGAGTTTTCACTACAGGGAACACGAAAATCGCAACTGAATCGACATCGAATCAAGGTTGCATTTTGCGAAGAATTGGAAATTTACCAGAAAACATGGGGATGTACAGTAAGGAAACAATATCATCATATCATCCAGCCGCATGAAGAAATCTGCACCCTACGCAAGGTTGATATCAACCACATCATTTGCACTGGCAGGACGGAACATGATACATCAAAAAAAAAATCAGTTTCGACTTGTCACCTACTACAGTACCTATTTCGACTATGTTGATCTATGTTGAAGATTTGAGACCACCAGCCATCAACAGCCACCAGAAAGAACACATGTCATGCTGACCTTGCTGCAATTTCATCAGTTCCTTTTCATCATCTCCCTCCCGCATTCGGATGGAAACGGTGCCCCTCTGAATGAAGTACAGCCTGGCCAGCTTCATTCCCGACCCAAGACCTGGATGGGCCATTTTTGCTGGATATTTCCTTTAGCATACTTGATCTGCAAGATATCTCAAGAAATCAAATATGGAGATGATCTCCATGAAAAACTCGTTCTCGTTCGGCAGACTGCTTTGAATCCCCCAGGATTAAGGAAAATCACGTAAAACATCTACGTACATCACTAGAATCACTGATGGTTGAGAGAGTTTCTCAGTGGTCCTCAGTCTCAATCATCCCATTTTTTTCTGCCAAGGCTCTCTGTCCCTTCAAAGCCTTGACGGACAATCGCCTGCATCGCTTTCCACCCAATTTCAACGTGTTTTTCAAATAACACTCGGAACATATGAAAATCATGTTCAATGATATTGGAAAACCTCGGAGATTCTTGCATCCCCTGCTTTGAGATAAAGCTATCATCGAGGGATCATGGGAATCAACGGGCCCCGATTCAATCGCTACTGCAATTACAAATCCATTGAATGCATCCTCTGCGAATGGTGGTATAGCCTTCACAAACGTCCATCATCGTGGTTTAGTGTTGAACTATATAGTCACAGATATGTGTTTGATCACTTCTCAACTATGGTAAGACATGTTGATCAGTATTTATTTATGGCAATAGACTCTAAATCAAATCTTAACAATATACATATATATATATATATATATATGTATTTGGTAGTAATCAGCAGTGTCAGCCAGTGTCACTCCTGAACTTTATCATCAATGTTCCTCCGGATGTTAAATGAAAACACATATCATTCACAAACGACACGTATGCCAACACCAAGGAAACCTCAAACATTAAACGTGTGTTCTTCAGGTCATGCTCATGCTCCATCTAACATCCACCCTGTGTCGTCTCTTTAATACTGGGTGGTTAAGAACGGGATTTCCCTCATGGATTGTGATTGATTGTCCCCAATATTCGTTAGTATAATCCATAATCACCTATAATCATCAACCAACCACCATTCATGACTATCTCCCCGTGGTACTTCAAACCAAACAAAACCCTTATACGTAATTATACAGAATGATAATTGAAACCGCATTTGAATTGCTCAATAGCATAAAATCCATGAAAAGTCGCATCAAATGCCAAATCACCCATGAAAAACCATAATGTTCTATGATTCATGAGGATTTACCTAGTTTTCCATGGTGATTTCATGTGATTTTCCACATTGAAATCCCATTAAACCATGCTAAAACCAGCATTTTCATGGTTTTCCATGGCGGGACCGGGCCTGGCCGTCCACGGCCTGGCGCGGCACAAAGCGCCGCGCCAGGTCGGCGAAGTCTTCGTGGGGCAAAGGATCGAAGGTTTCCACCTTGTGCATGAAGTCCTAGGCCGGGACACCGGGACACGTCGGATGGGAAGTATGGGAAAATAATGGAAAATATAGTCAATACATGTGAACTGGCGGCAGTTACTTCTGCCCTCTAATGGAAGCCACTTAGACCCAAAGTGCCAAACGGTCACTTACAAAATCAATCATGTATAAGTGACCTCGTTTCAAGAATCCTTAAGTGACCTCTTTGCCTGGCTGATCACATGATTTCTGCGTGTCACTGCGTGTCACTTGCGTGTCACTGGGGTTTCGAGGTGGGATGAAACGAGGTCACTTAGGACCCTGAAAAGGTCACTTAAGCCTTAAAAAGGTCACTTAAGGATTGGCTGTCTGCGTGTCACCTGCGTGTCACTTGCGTGTCACTGATGGGCCACTTAACTGACCTCTTTCTACGTTTTCCTTAACTGACCTCTTTCTACGTTTTCCTTAACTGACCTCTTTCCAAAGGCCACTTAGCAAAAAACACAAACAAGGTCACAAGGAATGGTCTGGAATACATGTGTTGATATGTATATATATATATATACCTAAATATTTGGATATATATATATATATATCACACGTCTGACGTCTGTAATTGCAAAATGGGAAAAGATATAATGGACACACACACACATATATATATATAGTGGAATGTCACCGGCAACATAAACGTCCTCACTGACCCGTCTGACGTCTGTAATGGGAATACGGGAAAATATCTATTGGGATGTTAATTTACATATATATATAATTACATATTATAAATTATATGTTATATATTATATATTTTATATATTATATATTATATATATATATATCATATATTATATATATATATTATATATTATATATATTATAAATATTATATATATATTATATTAAAAATATTATATAAATTAAAAATATTATATATATTAAAAATATTATATATATTAAAAAAATATATATATTAAAAATATTATATATATTTTAAATATTATATATATTATAAATATTATATATATATATTATATATTATATATATATATTATATTAAAAAAAATATAATATAATATAATATAATATAATATAATATATATATATATCGCGGGATGTCACCAGCAATGTACAAGTCCTAACGGACACGTAAATGTAAGGGTAAAATTTAAAAGGTAGATGAATATTTTAGTGGATTTATATGGTATATGGATATTAATTGGGACTAATGGATGAGGATATATATATATATATATGTATATATACATATGCATGTAACCAGCAATATAGAAGTGCTGACGCTTGTAGTGGGACATGAAAGAGGACACAATCATGAATCATGACATTTGAATGGGGATCCAAGATCATGAAATGTAGTGTAGCGTAGTGTAGTGTAATTAGTGTAGTGTAGTTGCAGTTGTACTTGTGGTGTGGTGAAATGTAGTGTAGTGTAGTGAAGTGTACTGTTGTGTTGTGTGTTTCAGTGTAGAATAGTGTAGTGTAGTCTACTTTCGGATCGCCGGGGACTTAGGCACTTAGTATGTGGAATTATAAGTTATTTATGTTTTTTGGTAAATGATGGGTAGTTACTTAAGTGGTGTCTAAGTGATATCAATTACTATTGACTTGGGTGACCTATAAGTGTAACATGTGCTAAATGGTTTTCACTTAGCGGCCACTTAACTTTGGGGTTGAAAACAGGCATGTCTTAAAACAGCTGGGTGTTTGTGCTAAAAAATCGATGTTGCGTAGCAATTTTGGTTCCAGAGGTAACTGTAGAAAAACAACGGTGCAGAAGAAACTGCGGCGATGGCGCTACGAGCGCAAAGGAAGAAGAAACGCCTAGTCTTCTGAAGTAGGGTTTCACTTGTCCGCGACTTGACCGCAGTAGCCCGCGGTGTTTCAATGCAGATGTCGCTTGACTGCGAGACTTTGACCGCGAGGTGGAAAAGTAATGCAAGTAAGGCATGCTGTTGACTGTGGATGACGGTGAAACCTAGAAAGACTAACAGGGTGGTAGCTACTTTGTCCGCGAATATCTGCAGACTCGTCTGACTAGAAAGAAAAATCTCTTCATAGGAGTTTGACGGCGGGGCCTAGATGAAATCAATATATTTTTTACTTCTCCGGTATATGTCACTGGCAGCATTTTTGTTTCTGAGCGTGCTGATCCTGAAATGATCGGCGAAAGAGAACGGGTGAGAACACGACCTGAGGTAACACTACTAGCAAAAAAAATAAACACTTCAAACTCAGAAACATCGAAAAATTCTATGAAACACTTAGCTTCACTTAGCGGCCACTTAGCTCACATTTAGCCGGACATAGCAACCTCAAAACCTAATGCCACCTAAGTGTCAGCTAAGTGCCTAAGTTCCCCAGTGATCTGAAAGTAGTGTGGTGTAGAGTAGATAGTGTAGTCGCAGTTGTACTTGTAGCTGTAGTTGCAGTGTCGTGCAGTGTAGTGTAAATGGCTAATTGTAGTGTAGTGTAATGTGATGTAGTTGTAGTTGAAGTAGCAGCTGCAGCTGCAGTTGCAGTTGTACTTGTGTAGTGCAGTGTACTGTAGTGTACTGTAGTGTAATGTAATGCAATGTAATTGATGGAATGGAGATGGAACGGAATGGAATGTAATGTAGTTGTTGTCGTCGTTGTTGTAGTAGTTGTAGTTGCAGTTGCAGTTGCAGTGTAGAATAGTGTAATGACTGTAGTGTAGTCTAATGTGGCGTAGTTGTAGTTGCAGCTGTAGTTGTAGTAGTAGTTGTTGTAGTAGCTGTAGTTGTCGAAGGAAGTTTAGAAGTCAAACTTCCGATAATATGGACAGATGAAAAGCAGAGCTGGGCAGAGGCAGGGAGAAGAGAAGAGCAGAAGAGAGAAGATGATAGAAGAGAAAGAGTCAGAAGAAAGAAAATGCAGATGCGCGAAAAGGTATGAAAGTCGCGAAACACTGTGTTTTTCCAATGATTTGTGGCTCCGGAGGGTCGACAAGTAGGCTCGCTAAAGCGGCGGGTGCGGAGCCATCTGGCCAGATGAGAGATGAGAAAGTGCACGCCGTTGTGGCGCGAAGGACATTTGTAAGTGAAAAAGCTAAAAACACCTCAGTGTTGGACCACTTTTGGAAGTTGCGATGTCGAAAAAGTGCACGCCGTTGTGGCGCGAAGCACATTTCGAAGTCAAAATGTACAAAACACCACATGTTCGCGCCACATTTGGAGGTTCAGATGTCGTTTCGCGTGGCAGGCGCAAGGGATTGTGCACCTTGTCAAAAGTGAGCAAAACGTAAGGGTTTTGTCGCATGTCCAAAAACCATGGCAGGCGTGCAACGTTTAAAGAAGATCTGCAAAGATGCATTTTCTGTGGCAGGCGCAGTACAAAAGACATGTTCATGAGAGATGTTTGGAGGTCAGGGCGCTGACTTCCTGAGAGGGGTTGCATTTTGGAGCATCAGATCTGTAGGTTTGCTAAGATGATTTTGCGTGACAGGTGCAGCACTTCGTATGATCTGACCTGGCATCAATTTTTCGTGGCAGGCGCAGTACTTTAGACAGGTGGAGTGGAAAAATCGCACAACGCATTGGTACGAGGCTGTCAGCGCTGCATTTAACTTTCCATTTTTGAAGGAAGTCTCGCAGAATTGCTTTGTTTTTGATGTTGCCAAGTTCAAAAATTGAAGAAGTCTCGCAGAATTGCTTCGTTTTGGATGCTGTCAAATTCAAAAACTGCAGACGTCTCGTAGAATTGTTTCTTTTTTGATGTTGTCAACGTCGAAAAATGAGGACGTCTCGCAGAATTGCTTAGTTTAGACAGACAAACAGAGAGAGAGAGAGAGAGATATAGATAGATTGATAGATAGATAGGTAGGTAGACAGGTAGATAGATAGATAGATAAATAGATAGATAGGTAGACTGATAGATAGACAGATAGACAGACAGATAGACAGATAGACAGATAGACAGATAGATAGAGAGACAGCTAGACAGATAGACAGATAGACTGATAGAAAGATAGATAGATAGACAGATAGATAGATAGGTAGACTGATAGATAGACAGATAGACAGACAGATAGACAGATAGACAGATAGATAGAGAGACAGCTAGACAGATAGACAGATAGACTGATAGAAAGATAGATAGATAGACAGATAGATAGGTAGATGGATAGATGGAAAGAAAGATAGACAGATAGACAGATAGATAGGTAGATGGATAGATGGAAAGAAAGAAAGAAAGATAGATAGATAGATAGGATAGATGGATGGATAGATAGATAGATAGACAGATAGATAGATAGATGGATCGATAGATCGATAGATCGATAGATGGATAGATAGATAGATCGATCGATAGATCGATAGATCGATAGATCGATAGATCGATAGATAGATAGATTGATAGATTGATAGATTGATAGTTTGATAGATAGATACATAGAAAGAAAGATAGATAGACAGACAGACAGACAGATAGATAGATAGGTAGATAGATAAGTAGATAGATAGGTAGATTGATAGGTAGATAGATAGATAGATAGATAGACAAATAGACAGATAGATATAGATAGATAGGTAGATAGATAAATAGATAGGTAGATAGATAGATAGATAGATAAATAGATAGATAGATAGATAGATGGATAGATAGATAGATAGATAGGTAGATAATTAGATAGATAGATAGATAGATAGGTAGATAGATAGATAGATACATACATAGAAAGATAGATAGGTAGAAAGTTAGATAGATAGAAAGATTGAAAGATAGATAGATAAATAGATAGATAGATAGATAGATAAATAGATAGATAGATAGATTGATAGATAGATAGGTAGAAAGAAAAAATATAGATAGATAGATTGATAGATTGATAGATGGATAGATCGATAGATCGATAGGTAGAAAGGTAGATAGGTAGGCAGGTAGATACATAGATAGATAGATAGATAGATAGGTAGAGAGGTAGATTGGTAGGTAGGTAGGTAGGTAGGTCGATAGATAAATAGATAGATAGATAGATAGATAAACACATA